AGAGTCCCTCAATATCGTACAAAGGGACTTCGGATTCGCCATCTTTACATAGCTGAAGCATTAGCTATTCGAGATCTAAAACCGGACCTCTGCATACAAAAGCGATACATACATTCTCTTGCCTTACCATGGCCAGAGTAAAGTTCTTATCACAATTTTGCTTCTTTCCTTTATTATGTAAGTTCACTATTATTACCATTATTATTATTTTATTTTATTAATACTTTTATTATCATTTTGTCCCCATCATCCACATTTTATTACCACTCTATTACTGTTTATTAATAACATTGTTTTCCATACATATTTTATACAAAAACACTTTATTAGCCTTTCCACTAGTTCCTGTCCATTTTACACGAGATTATTGATTATTCACTATCTCACACTTATTACGTCATGCCAACTTCTGTCTCCTTTCTAACTTACAATTAGTCATCCCTTCTTACACCTTACATTATGTAATACAATTTTCTAAGGACAAAATTTGCCAGTATCTGATTGGTCTAAAGATTTCTTTGTTAATTATAATTACGATTGTACAGCTCATGAAAATGAATCGTCGAAAAGAAAATTTTCTTCGCTGTTTGTGCCTTTTCTTATGACTCAATATGGGAATATTTCGTTCAAATAATATTGTTTCACTGTGTGTAATACATCTAATAAACAAACTAATATGGAATTATTTATTAGGGATCTGATATTTACATATAGGGAAATTATGTGCACCATATATATTAAAATTATCAATGGCGCAGATCTTCCGTGTTGTGCTACTTCCGCCCTTCTTTCGTATTATGTTTCTTTGTCTCCGCTTCGTGTCTCCCATGTTTTGACACAATTCTGGTTCATTTGCTCTCTTGACGTGAAATGCATCTCTCCACTATTTGATATTTTTGTGTGCTGAGGAATGTCTCTTGACCGTAGCACATGCCACCGTAGAGGTAATAATAGATAGCAAAGCTGTGTTACCGTTTCTTTTTATCAACTCAACTGCATTGTGTGCGATGTCTATCAGCGGTCTGCTCAGCATGTCCTGAGTCCATCTCCATTTTTTTCTCCTCCATCTTTATTGAGTGACGCGTTCTTGGTTAGTTTCTCCTCATAATTTCTTGTAGCTAATTCTTCATGGCTGGACATTTGACCTTCAGAAGGTAGCCAGTGTAGGCAACTGCTGATAAATCTTTGAAACCAGTTCAAAATGATTTTCGTGACACGCTGTCCAAGTTTCTGACCCGTATAGAAAAACTGACTGACTGACCTCACATTTGTGTTGAAGGGAATCCGAATGCTGTTGTTTATGCTGGCTGGCTGAGTGCAGTGCATAAGATTTCCAAACTGGTTTCAGTTTGATGAGGACGTATCTTGCCTAGCTGGCTTTTATATCTTCATTTCTTACGACTGTGATTGGAAGGATGCTTCCTGACCAGATAAGTGAAGGAAGTAACTTATTTCAGACTCAAGTATAAAACTTGGGCACTGTGGTTGAGTATAACTCCATTATGGATAAGATTTTATTTCGATAAGTCACTCAGTGTTACACAGTAATATTAACTGATGACGTTTCGAGCACAATTTATTACTGCTTATAATCATATCAACTCACTCACTCACATAACTTTTTTCCTTCATTTATATACCTGAGTGGAATTGACTGGATATTTGAATAAAAATCAATATGGGATAACGTACATTCAGAAATAATAATATGAGTGTTATTGATGAATTACAATCAGATGGGAAATAAGACGAGTGTTTTTATAGTTATAATAAGTAAGTGAGTGAGTGAAACTAGTAATAATAACATAAATAAGAGAGAATATAAGACATCTGCTGTTATATCATATAAGGAGGGGACATCTGAAACCCTACTTATGAAAGACTCTTAAAAAAGCAGGAATTAGAGTGGCATTCAAACCTACAAACTCACTCAGGTAGGACAAGCTCTGTAGACTAAAGGACCCTGTAGGTCCACCCAATTGAACAAAATAATTTAATTTACAAAATACCTTGCAATGACTGTGAGTTAAGTCAACTACATAGGTCAAACTAGTAGGTCGGGGGTAGTCAGATTGTCAGAACATTAGAATTTAGCTGTGTGTAGGCTGATTGACCTGACGAAGATAAGTAATTTAGAAAAAATCTCAGCAGTTGCACTTCACGCATTAACACACAACCACACAATAGGGTGGGTGGGAGAGGGTTAAATTCTGAAAAGTAATCTAGGTAGGTGGAGAGACAGATTGATTACTGAATCCTGTCTGGTTCATTGAGTCTACACCCAACACAACACATGCAACAGAAATGACTCAATGCAAATACCAGAAATATGGAAAATATCATTACCGCCAGTCAAATCAGAAGAGGATAATAAATAGTCTCAAAATTCTATTTCAATTCATGTACATGATAACATCCTAACAAGTTACTTATTATGACTATAAAAACACTCGTCTTATTTCCCATCTGATTGTAATTGATCAACAACACTCATATTATTATTTCTGAATGTACGTTATCCCATACTGATTTTTATTCAAATATCTGTCAGTTCCACACACGTATATAAATGAAGTAAAACAGTTGTGTGAGTAACTTGATATAATTATGAGTGGCAATAGTTTGTGCTCGAAACGTGGTCATCAGTAAATATTAGTGTATAACACACTGTGTGACTTATCAAAATAAAATCTTATCCATAATGGAGTTATTTCAGATCTCTCCTGTTGATATTGATTGCTGCTGGTTGTTGTTGTGGTTCGTTGGTTATCTTCATCATCTCTGTCTTCGCTGTCTGCTTCTTCTGTTTACTTGTTGGTTTTCAACTGCCAGTCTTGCAGTTTGTGTGATATTAAACATAAATCATCCACTAGCGAAATCTGCATCTTGTGGTGTCTTATCTTCCCAACGTATTTCTGTCTTCTTGTTTCCACTGACAATCTGATGCATAATCCAGTTCACCACAGATAGGAATATCATCAGTAATAATAGGCAGCCTCTGCACTCAACATAAATAACAAGATTCATATTTTCAACACCGATGTTAAACACTTCTTCTATACGGCTCAGAAACTTGGCCAGCGTATCACGAAAATCATTTTGAACAGGTTGGAAACTTTTATCAAAAGCTGTCTGCATTAGCTCCATGCTGAAAGTCAGATGGTCAGGAAGAATTAGCAACAAGAAACTCTGGGAATCAAGAATCTACTGCTCAAGAAATATGACGAAAATAATGAAGATGGGTCGGACACACGCGATATCGGGCGACAACGGGCCGTCGCTCCAGTAGAACCTAAACAGGAAACCAGTTGGGAGTCCAACGGTGACGTGGAAGAGAGATAAAGATTTACGGGCCGTCGTGGGGCCAGTTAAAAAGGACTGGAGAGAACAAGACAAAGTGGAGATGTACTATTAGTATACAAAACGTCCTCACTGACTTTAAACCAATTTTTATTTCTTTAAAGAATGTGATAATAGAATAGATTAGTACGTGAGTGAGATACATAAAACTAAACTTTTATTAACTATCGCATAAGCGGAAAAAATATGTGTGTTAGCAGAAAAAGATCAAAATCACATTCTCACTCTCAACATGAAACATGTCTGGAGTTTATAACTTTAAGATATACATATATATACTACTGAAGAAGTTAAAAATAGAGACAGGTGAACTATGCGAATAGTTGAACAATTGAACCATAATTTTACTACTAATATATAGAATATACCAAGGTATTTACATTGTTAATGAGAATGAAAACTTATATATATGTATATTTGGAATTTCTAAATGTCTGTATATTTCAGATCACAAAGATACATTCCAGAAACAGTATACCTTGTCAATCATTCTTGTGAAATGTGTGAGAAATTTAAGAGTTTATAAAAGAAAAAGAGAAAAAGAGTTTTATAGACGAGGACACGGAAAAGATGAGTGTTTGAGATTTGGATTACCTTCGCAATTGTAGTTTATCCCCTAAGACTACATTTTTTATTGTTCCCTTGGGTTCCTAGTGGAACATAGGGCTTCAACTACACGTCTCCACTTGCTTCTCTCTCCTGCTGTACTTTCCACTTGCATCCATGTTAATCCATACTGTTTCAACTCCTCTTCTCACGATCTCCTCCATGTCACCCCAGCATTGACGTCTCACTCGTCGCTTCCCTTTCGGGTTCCACTCGAGCTATGGCCTGACGCGCGATGTCACCCAGTGGCCTCCTCAGCTCAGTGAGTGTCCAATCCATCTCCACTTTTTCCTAAATATGTGTTGGCTGATTGGTTCTTGTTCTGTTTGTTCCCATAGTTTCTTGTTGGTTCTTGTTCTTTTTGGCCATCTGATCTTCAGTATTGAGCGAAGACAGTTAGTTGTTGATGAAAGTGTGCAACAGGCTGTTGGAAATATTCTTTGTGACACACTGGCCAAGTTTCTGATCCGTATAGAAGAACTGACCAACTTGACGTCGTTTGTATTGAGAATCCGAATTTTGTTGTTGATGGTGAGTTGAGTGACGAAGATTTGCAGATTGGTTTCAGGTTGATGAATGTGTTTCTCGCCTTCCCGAATCTCGATTTGACATCCTCGTCCGTTCCTCGTGTAGTTGAGACAATGCTCCCTAGATAAGTAAGTGAATGAAGTAACCTCTTTCAAATCCCTCCCGTTGATGGTGACTGGCGCTGGATTACCTAAACTGTACACATGCATTATCTATTGATGAGGTAAACAGCATTAAATTTGTCATACCTAACTTCGTCTTCAATATAATATACCGATGCGAATTTAGAAATCAACGTTCATTTAGCACTCGCTATATAATCTACACTAATATGCAAATGACTAGCACTCAACTAAATCAACTAAATTGTACCTGATTTCATCAACCACTGACACACACACACACAGAGGCGCACATATTCAGTAGTATTTTACAAATAGTTAAAAAAAATAAGAAATTTGTACTTTCTTTCCTCTTTTATTTTTCTTTTACTTTTCTAAAATCAGGTATATTTTCGATACTCCCGTGGAACTTTAAGTGATCCCTTCACTTATGATTATTTTAAAAATAAAGAACTTCTGATCCAGCTGCAAGCACGTTGTCGTGGTTGGATATCAAGGAATAGATCTTCACGTGACAGAGTAAGTTCATTGAGGGGAAAAGCAGTTTTCGTGACAGATTTTATTATATGCTAATGAGTTCTGTGAGGTTAATATTTGTTTTACAGTTTATTGTAAAAGTGAAATTATGCTACGTCGTGTTCTGATCCAGACAGGAGCCCCTTTCATTACATAAGTTAAAATACCTTAAATTCTGAGTACATATCTTAGTGTAGATATTGTCATGCTATTTATTGTTAATATTATTCCCTGAGGTTCCGAGTGGAACATTGACTTTCATTAGCAAATCTCTATTTCATTCATTCGCCAGAAGTTTTTTCTTTATCTGGATCCACCAATGCCCATGAGTATTCATCCCTTCCTCACACACTCTCCTTCATGTCATCCTCCAACCAAAGTGCAGCTTGTCATTTGCCATTCGGCCTGCATCTCAAGGTTCGGTCACTCCACGGACTCATCAACATGTGTCCTGCCCATCTTTGACATATTTCTTGGTCAACTGGTCCTTATTTGAATAAAGCAAGAACAACAGAGATTTTTGCAGAATAAAATGGTACCATCATTGCTTATTTCGTTGACTTCTAATCAGCTGCTTACAGGTCAAAGAGCTAGGAGATTATGTTCTATAGAGAAATTAGAGGAAGAATTCATGTTTCTCGAAAAGATGTTGAGAAGCAACAGTTACCCTCAAAGGTTCATTAACAAGTATGGAAGATCTGAAGTCTAAAATGTCAAACAAATCACGGTGGAGAAAAAGCCTGTCTTCATTCAACTCGACTTTAAAGGTGAAAATATTGCAGCAATGGTCAACAGAAGCCTGAATACGTCGCTAGCCAGAGCCTATCCTGCAGCTAAGCTCGTTCCCGTGTATCAAAAAACTTGCTCTTTGGTGCAATTAAAAATCGATAGACGTCCTTCTCATGTTAACTCCAACTTTATGTACAAATTTACATGTTTCTGCGGTAGCAGTTACACTGGAAGAACAGAAAGAAGGGCATATCTGCGAATTTCTGAACATGTATCAAAAAGCTTATGTTTACAGTTCCATCACCAAGTATCTCCTTGACACGAGTCATGAGGTGGACATCGCAAGATCGTTCAAAATTATCAATAGGCAAAAAAGTTCAATTCTTCTCAAGTTTGCTGAAGCCATCTCCATCAAGAGCCTGAAACCTGATTTATGCGTTCACAAAGAAGCAGTTACCAGTCTTTTTTGCCCTGGTAACTGGATATTTTCACCTCTCTTTCATCTGATTACTTAATGTCTAAAGTTTCCATGTGTATGATCATTATTGTTCGGAATAGAGTTTAATATTGCATATATATATATATATATATATATATATATATATATATATAAGTATTATTTTTGTATGCATGTATTCATTGATTGATTTTTGTTTAAAAATGAACTCTGTGCAAGTATGTTGAAACTGTTTCTGTAGGTATACTTAATAATGACTTTGGCCTGTAAGCAGCTGATGAGAAGCCAAAGAAATTTACAACGATGGTACCATTTTATTCAGCTCAGCTGCTTACAGCCCAAAGACATTATTAAGTATATCTACAGAAACAATTTTAACATACTTGCACAGAGTTCATTTTAAACAAAAATCAATCAATCAGAATTTAAATACAATAATATATATGATATTAAACACTACTGAGAACAATAATGATCATAAAAAATGGGAACTTTCGACATTACGTAATCAGATGAAAGAGAGGTAAAAATATCCAGTTACCAGGTTGGCAAAGAAAGACTGATAACTGTTTCTTTCTGAACGCATAACTCAGGTTTAAGGGGCTTGATGAAGATTGCTTCAGCAAACTTAAGGAGAATTGAACTCTTTTGTCTATTGATAATTTTGAACGATCTCTTGCGACGTCCACCTCATGATCCGTGTCAAGGAGATGCCTGGCGATGACACTTTTTAAAGCATTTGTCCCTTTTAGATATAAGCTTTTTGGTACATGTTCAGAAAATCGTGGATATGGTCCTTATTTATTTCTTCTCAAATGTTCTTTGTCTAAAGACTGTCTGTGAACCATATTGGAAGAAATGACTTGAAATCCGAATCTTGTTTATTATGTTCTTTATTTTGTCTCAAACTGACGTTACTTTCGGAACTGTTGGAAAATCATGAAGCACTACCCGCCTAACTGCCTCATCTCAGGCTAAAAATCTCTGAAAGTCTATAACCATAACCTCACCAAGGATCGATTTCACAACCATCACGTTCCCAAAAGAGTGTGCCACTTATGAATGGTAAGTGTAACAAGTCAAGACGCTTTATTAGTCCGGCCGCGGAAATTATTACCCATTTTTACGTACCTTGGCTATCAATCGAATGTAAGAATAATTTCTGTAAACATGATTGATATTGGTCATCTTGGCTACTCTATCAGTCCACATTCAAACTGCTGCTAACTGAGCAGTAATCCATGACAAATATCACTAGCTAAGAAATAATGAGTCATCGTAGATTCTCTCAGATAATATCCCATAAAAATGACTTTAATACTCCAAAAATTACAATATAGTAACTTCTGTTTTCTCAGTTGCCCTCATTAATGACGTCACTTTCCCCCATGAATCAATCAATAATTCAGCGAAGAGGCTTTTACAGCGAATTCATCTTATTTGACTGTACACAAGCATTTATATGGCAGTCAGCTCTCTAACTCACTTAACTTTAACGACTTTGAAAAGGCCTTCAACAGAGAGCGTTGATCCAGATGTGATTTCGCGACTACATCTCATCCAGCAGTTGAACAACAATGCTGCGTGCCACGTAATCCACAACGGGAAACTCACGGATTCCTTTGAAATGAAGAGAGAAGTAAGATAAGCTGGTTGACTGCCTACTATTTCCAGTGATTCATTTCCTGATTGCGATAAATTGGATAATGCGACAGACAGACGCCGGGCAACGAGTAAACAGGCAGAAAATGGACTCACACAAAATACTTGCAGGATCTGAACTTTGTCGATGATATATATCTCATTTCACACAAACCGGAAGATATGCAAATGAAAAGCAACAAGTTGGCAGAACAAGCATCCAGAGAAGATAGGACTTTCTTCAGGTGAACATAGAGAAAACAGATGTAGGTGGTGAAGATTCCTGGCCAACAGCAACAGAAACAGCCACAGCAACAACAACAGACAAAAATCAGCCAGCATAAATGGGAGAAATCTAAAGTAAGCAACCTCCTTCACCTAACTACCTACCTGGGAGACATAGTCTTAACTGATGGGGATATGAAAGCGAGGATCGGGAAATCAAGGCAAGCTTTCATTACTCCCAATTCTGTGTGGAGATCAACAGCACTCCTCAGCATGAAAAATAAGATCCAATTTTTCAACTGGAATGTGAAGTCAGTGCTTTTTACTATACGGATCAGAGACTTGGCGCCGCGCAGCGCCGCATCACGAAGGACACTTCGAACAAACTACACATCTTCATCAACAGCTGTCTTCGCTTAATACTTCGCTCAAGATCTGACGGCCGGCCAGAAAAGATCTTCAATAGTTTTGGGATCTCTGGCAATGAGCGAACCAACCCAGCAGGAACCAATTGTGCAAGAAATATACACGAAGAAATGGAGGTGTACTGGCCCATCGCTCCCGACTGGAATCTGAATGGGAAGCAGCGAGTTAGTTTTTCGTCAGTGAAAGGGTGATATGAAGGAGGAGAAGGGGGTGATGCGAAGAGAGGAGATGAAAAAATGTGGGCAGACTTGGAGCCAGGTGAAAACGTTGGCAAAGAACCTAAGGCAATGGAGACGTGCGGTTGAAGCCCAATGTTCCTCTAGGAATTTAAGGAAACAATTATAATAATTATTGGTCAGTGCATGAGAGGAGTTGAATAACAAAATGTATTAGAGTTACGTAATAAGATGAACAATTTAATGAATACGTCGTAATCGGGATGTAGATAGAGACGAAGGAGGATATGGAATTATGTAAGAGGAGCAGTTAGAAAGACAAAGAGACAAACAAATTAACAAGACTCAAGTCAGTAGAAATCAATAAGGTTTTTACCAAAATAATAGAAGTGCTTAAATATTTTCTTCTACATGCATAGCTCCAGTTTGTCTATCTAAATGTCTAGAGCTTCACCGATGCAAAGGAGAAGAAAGCGTATTGCCTTCAGTACAAGTAATATTTCATTAATCTGAACTTTTGATTTGATAACCTTGTCAATAAATCTCCCTGGGTATCCATCAATCTTGAAAGTAAAATTTCTTTCAGAAGGCCAAATTTTGATTCTACAGCTTTACGACTGTAGGATGCATCGGATGTTAAGGGAAGTGGGACAAGGGATTGAATTAAATTTCATTTTGGTTCAATAGACAATTAAACCCTCTTACGTATTGATAAATATCAATAACTATGGGTTATGACAACTCATCACTTTTGTTACCACAATTCATAGGATGTATAAAACTTGGAAGGGGTGCGAAATTATAGGAATAGCAGGTAAACAGATTAAAAACAAAAATGTTAAGTAACATTTTGTGAAATATGATAACATAGAATTTAACAAGGCAAAACAAAATTGATTTAGAACGACAAGTGAAACGAGTGAAATAATACCGGGGACAGTTCAAAATGAGAATAGTAACGACAGAAGACAAGGGCCAAGCAACAGATCGTTTATTTACGAAATCAACAGATATTTATAGATTTTTATATACATTATTATTAGCGTTATTGTTAGCAGAGAAGTGACGTCTTCTGATTGGTTGTTTTCTCACTGAAGGTTATTCTGTCATCTATTTGTTGCCGTTTCTTAGACAGTTCGTTGACATTTCTGCGAATCGTATCTGCCCACGTTAAGTCTTCTGTGATCGGTTGTTGAGTTCCTCAAGTTTAGGCTTTGTTCTTGTTTTCTCTTGTGACCCCGACTCAAGACGTAAACATTGACGTGAATTGTTGCTTACAATTTTGGCTTTCAGACAGCTCTCACCACACTTGTCCCTCCGTCAAAGACTCTCTACTGAAGTTGGTTCGG